GGCTTCTGGGTTTGGGTTTAGACCACAGAGCTCTGTGAAGGCTTACTTAGAAATCTCACTGATGAATTTGGCATCATTGTGAGACAGACACAATGACTAGTTTTCTGTTGATTTTTTTCAGGCTGACTTGACTAAAGGAAGTCATATTCCTATTTTAGGAGAAGGCAAGTGGCTCTTTGTCTGTAACTAAGGGGAATAAAAATTGAAGAGTCTCTTACTTAGAATGCCTGAACTTTAGTTTGTCAAAAAATGTGTACTTTGAGCCACCTGACAGTGATCTAGTAATCTACCAGAGCCAAACATGTTTGAGGGACACCTGCCCTGTAACTGGAAGTGTAAGTTCCTGGGGCACTGCAAATGCATGTGAATGGGCAGCGAGAACAGCAGACACCCATGACACATGCACCTCCATTTATCAGACATATGCTCCATGGTTCCATTGTACCTCACTTACAAACCACACAATAGTGGCAGCAAACACGAACACAGGGTCCTTCTGAGCATGACATGCTGGGTCACTGCATAGATCACATATCCATGGAACCAGCCCTTGATAGGGTCATGGTTTTATACATGAGCCTAAAGTCATGTGGCCTGTTGCATGCTGTACTATATTAGGGTGATGAAAGGCTGTATCCTGTGTGTATAAAGCAGGGCCCTGTTGCACAGAGGTTCAGACATGGGACTTGGCACTCTAAAACCCACCCTGCTTTCTACTTGCTGTGCCATCTTGGGCAATTACTTCATTAAGCTGAGTCTCTGTTGGCCTAATGTAAAATAGGAGAATAGTAGTACCATTCCTTTAGGAGGATCAAGTGAAGCAACATATAAAAAGCACACAGTGCCTGGCATACAGCTGTCACTTGCCCAATGTCAGCTACTATCAGAGGACTTGGTAAGGCAGTTTCTGAAGCCATCTTATGGCTAAGTTGTTGCAGCTACCCTTGTCCACACCAAATGAGTATGAAATTCAGTTCTACAGTGCTAGGGTGACTCTGATGGGTGTCAGCCCTCTCCACTAAAATACTGTTTGTCCCATCTTCTAGACCCACTGTCCCTTGAACCTTGGGGATGTGGAATTGTTTTGTCTCCTGTTACCCACTTTTCATTTGACTCCCCTTCACTGGATTGGGAGGATGCAAATATTTATTATAATTACATGGACAGGAACACACAGAGTGCTGTTGCCATAGAAACTTATCAGTATGATCCAACCAAATCAAATGCTGGTGGAGGGAGAGGCTACTGCAACAGGATCATCCGCTGGCTGGGACGTAGGGACTGTTTGACAGAGATAAGCCAGCTAGGCAGTGCCTACTGGCATCAGGGCACAGGAAGCTGTGGTGCAGGTGGGTCCCTCTCCCCAGACATTAAGCTGCACTAATTGCTTTGGAAGTAAGGCCTTTTCCTGGGAAACAGCATATGGTGTGTGAGTTGCCTGAAGCAAAGATAAAAAGCCACCTTGCTCTTCCTTTATCGAAGTTTAATAATAAACGGAACTGTCACCAATAAACTGTTTATTTTAATTTAGAAAAATAATGAAAACTGCCACCTTCTGGTCCAGTTGATGAGCTCAATGACCTTGAACCTTTTGTACTTCTGGGCTCCTGAGGACCCTTGGGACTTGGGGTCAGTAAAATTAGCTGCATTTTGTGTAAGATAACATGGCCTTTGAAGGGCAAAATGCATTATTTTCCAAGATGTATTAGATTGTAAAGTTGCAGACCAACATTTTGGTATAGAAGATGATTAAAGTACAGAGCTTTCTAGTGTTTTGTCTTTTTAAATTTTCAAATACCAGAGTCTTCCCTCCCTCCCTCACTCTCACCTTCTCTTCCTTCTTTCACTTCCTCCTTTCTTCCTTCCTGTAGAGGGTTTGAAATTTCTGCCATGAGTGACAAGATAGTTTTTTCTTTCAATGACTATGAAATGAAGATGGTCTCATGTTTTCCTCTCACATGATTCCTTTTTCCTGCCCAGTGCCTAATGCATTAAGAGAGAAATGAAGGCTCAAAGAAGGGAAGTGTCTTATCAAGGCTTAAGGGAGAGGCAGAGTAGGAGCGGGAATGAAGTCCTGCCTACTGTTCTGAGGCCTTGCTGTGCTCTTTGTTCCACCACCACCCAGGCGACCCCTGTGCCCATTACAGAGCAGGTAAAACTAAGGTGTGGGAACTATGGCTGCTTGCCTGGGGGACTCAGTTGCTTAGTGGTGTGACCAAGATGAGAATTCAGTCTCCTGACTCCTAGTTCCCTTTTTCTAAGAATCCATGGGGTCTATCTGCCATTTGCTTATACACATATAATAACAGGATGACATTAAATATCACAATTTTTGAATTTTACAGTGGCCACAATGGAGAGTATAGAAAAAGAAATCTGAAGTAAGGAGGGAGATCCAGAGTGGTCATCCAAGTGCCTTCATCTGATTCTAGATACTACCATTGGGGTACAGTTGGTCAGGACTCTTGTTCAGCATAATCACAAATTACTCCATGCCATGTACCAAAGCAATGGCCAGTAAGACCATGCACCAAGAGCCTGTCTTGCACATAGTGTCTTGCTCTGTCTGGCTAAGGCACATGGTAAACCACATGGCACAGTGACAGTGGTGAAAAAAGGGAGAAGAGTACACAGGTACGATGAGGAGGATATTTGTGATGGTTGTGGTAATCATAGGAGTCCTTTCAGTTAAGAGGCTCAAATTCTGATAAAACTGGTTAAGCAGAAGAGCAAATCTACTGACTCACTTACCTGAAGAGGCTGGGCATGCCCAGATAGAGGGTACAAGCCATGTAATCCTGATCCTGTTGTGGTCCTCCATTATGGGGTCTGTTCTTGGTTGCTCTCTTCATCCAGGTGAGCTCCTCCTTTGCAGGGGAAAGATAGCTGCTAGCTCCCAAGCTAACTCCTGAACTCTCAGCAGTCCCCCCAGGAAGAGAGTCTTTCCCACATTTCAGCAGAAGTCCAGGGATTGGATGGATGCCTTTGTATGATTATGGCTTATGAGATGGAGTTCACAGAGTGGGCAGGGCTGATAAATAGACTTATCTTTGATCTGGGAAGGAGAGAGATCAATTTCACCCAACCCATATAAATTATGGAGTGATGAAAGAGAAGGAAAATAAGAAGGGGAATCAGTGTTGGACAAGCAAAAATCACACATTTCCACTGGGCTCTAGCCTTAGACTTTCCTCTGGCTCACCATCAGTTATTGGTGTGGTGAGCAGGAATGACTAGTTTTGACCCTTGCATATTTAGGTCAGCATCATTCAGAGCTTTCTGCAGCTATGGTAATGTTCTTTCTTCTGCAGTGTTCAGTGCAGTAGCCACCAGTTACATGTAGCTAATGAGTACTTGAAATGTGACTTGTGCTGTTGAGGAACACAATTTTGCATGGTAGGTAATTTTAATTAAATTTAAGTGCAAATACGTGTAGGTGGTTCTTGGTTACCATATTGGACAAAGAAGTTCTTAGTAAAAGTCACATAATGGGAAATAATTCCCAGTAAGAGAAGACCTAGGTTTGTGTAAAGAGTTGGCTGAGACATAGATTCAGCCCAAATGACCTTCAGGGAGTTGATTTGGTTTGGGTTAAGAGTAGGAAAAAGGGAGCTGGGACATGAGGGAGAGGAGAAAAAGAGTCAAAGAGACTCCTCTATCTGTGACATAATTTGGAAGCCCTTGACTTGAGGAAATATTTTTTTCCACCTAATATATGGACCAGATTTGTATCAGGAAGAAACAAAACCAACTGACCTTGTTATAAATGTGAATTGAGGGGAACTCCATGACATGTTTTTCCATTTAACTCAAAGTGTCCAACAATAATAGCAACCATTGCCTAAAGCAGCACACGACATGCAGCCACATATGGATTGAAAGAAAAATTAAATAGGGTTGCAGTATTGTTATAAAAGAAAAACATACTGTGTAAACTTGTATGACTGAGCACGATTAAGAGCAGTTGATGGAAATAACATCAGATGGACAGAACAGACTTGTAAAGGCAGAGTCTGTTCTCATGACCACAGTGATGTGGACATGAGGCTGGTTATAGATCAGCCTCTCAGCAAGCGGTGTGATGGATGGCTCATCGTGTGCCATGCTCTGTGTGGGGTTTCACAGTTACTACAGTTCCTCTCAACCAAATCTGGGCTTCTGAATAAGGGATCCAGAAGAGACTTGGGATTGCTCCCGAGGAGGCTCATACTCTGTCTGGTCCGCTAAGCTCGTCTGGATTTCTAGACTGTGTCTTCCTTACTGTGATTACCATCTTCGTGTTGATACTCAGTCTTTGTCCTCACTCTTCAGAGACATCTGCTGAGCACCTCCTGTGTATATCAGCTGTATGGTAGGCAGGGAGACAGAGTAATGCCCTGTCTCGAGGAACTTCACAGTGTCGAGTTGGGGACACAGTTTAAACAGACAATTGCATACCTGGAATGCTAAGTACAAAGTGGATCTGAGTTAAAGCGTGGGAACATGGGGTTATAAAGGAAGCATTTTAAGTTGGTCTCAGAAATTAGTGGTCTAGGAAGGCAGGCCTCCTGGGGCAGGAAGGGGGTGATGTCCATACTGAGACCACAGAAGCAGGTGGGAAAGAGTGTTGCAGGGGAGCAGGGGCTGAGTTGAGCGTGGGTTCCCCGCAGAGGGAGAGCATCGCAGATTCCTAACATGGTCAGGAGTAGGAGAGGAAGGATAGAGGAGGGGAGGATCACCAGGTGATGAAACTGGAGAGGAAAGCAGGAATTTAGATTAAGTACGTTTTTTAAAAATCAGATTTAATTAATTTTTTTCCCTGAACTGTAGTCAAAGCTAACACATGGGTATTAGAGGTAAATTTTATATTGAATAATTCTTATATTTTGAATGTAGAAGGAAAAACTAAAGTTTGGCCATTTGGGGCTGAGTGTTATCAGTCTTGCTAAAGCAATCCATTCAAGACTGGTGTTTCACATGACAGGACAGACACTAATGGATTTTCTTCCTTGTCATTTCAGCACTTCAGGGAGCATCTGGACAAACTTTTTGCCAAAGGAATTGGAATGCTGGATATAGCTCTGAATGAGGCCTTCAACATTCTCAGTGATGTAAGCTCCTCTTTAATTTGCCTTCCTTATCTCCAGGAGAGTATATGGGGTTTGTAGGAAAACTGTGGCCCAGGATTACTGTTAGCTTGAGGGTGGTCCATGAGCAAGCAGGCACAGAACCATCCACCTGGGGTATGGAACTGAAGCTGGGGGACCAGCAAGAGGTTCCCAGGCAGCTCTGCACTGTGGCTTTTGGCATTTTACAGGTGAGTAGACCAAGGGTCAGGTAGGTGAGTCACTCACTCAGCATGGCACAGTTTGGATGTGGTTGCTAGTCTGACTCCCAGACTTGGGTATTTCTGATTCCTCTTCCTTTCTTATTAATTTTTAAAAATTTTTGCAAGGCTTGGGATTGAACCCAGGACCTTACATTTGCCAGGAAAATGCTCTGGATTTTTCATATTCAGCTACATTGGCACCTCAAGTGGCCCTGATTTCTAAACTCTCTCTTATCAAGGACATGTGATGGCACAGAGAAGATCATTTTAGTCTCAGTCCTGAGCCAGTAGCATAACTGCAAAGGATAAGAGAAAAATTAGGAAGGAATATGCTAACTAGGTTCCTCAGTATAAACCCAAGGCCATTCCCTCTCACCTTACTCCAAGGGGCTGTTGGCTACAGGTGATTAACATTTATGTAAGAGTTCATATTTTGGACAGCACATCTCTGTGAACAGCATGTTAATACTTTAGAAACATAGCTGGCCTGGGCAGAGGACCAAGGCTGTTCCTTTAAATTCTGGTTTGAACCCCAGGCAGGTACCTTTTCAGCACTTAGAGTTCTGAATCTTAGCAGACATTTTCCAAGGGATAATTTTGAAAAGACTTGTCACAATTTGTAAATTCAGTTTCTTTTTATCTCAAAAAGCCAGTGGCTAGATCAGTGAATTCCCTAAGCAGCAAATTCCCTTGTTGGAAGTCTGTCCTGCAGTGAATTTCTGTTTTCCTGCCTTCTGGCCTTGGTGGAGGGCCTGCAAGTTAGGAGAACATTGTGTGTGGTTAAGTTTGGGGCCTTGGTGTCAGGCTGGCTGAGCAGAGAGGCCTGACTTGGGCAGAACCTGCTGTATGACATTGAGGAAATGATTTCAGTCTCTCCCTTCATTTCTTCATCTGTGAAATGGGGAGAGAAAAAGACCCAGCCCTGGTCACACAAATTGTGAGACCCAGAGCAAAATGAAAATTCAGGATCCCTTGTTCACTGGTTTTTAGGAGCTTTAACAGAAATAGCAGAATATTATACCAAGTATGGTGTCTTTCTCTGGTAGGGCTCTTAACATGCCGTGAAGCTGGTCCTGGGAGACCCTTGGAGGTTAGAATTCATTGTGACTAACCAGTACCTGGCTTCTTACAGGGTGTTGGGTAGGTAGGAAAAGCTGTGATGTGACTACTGAGACTCGTGGGCTCTAGACACAGCTCAACTCTGAGGCTTTGGTCTCACTCCATGTCTATGTCTCCCTCTTTTTTTTCCCCTTGCTGATACCTTTTCTCAGCCCATCCCTTCCATTGTCGATATTGCTTTCAGACCCTCCTAAGCCAGTGATATGCACAGGTGTATGCTGGTCTGCCAAGATCTCCAACATCAGGTTAGTAGGCAAGGTGGGAAGCTGCCTTCCTCCCCTTAGAGATTCATAGCACAACACACTTGTTCATATCAAAGCTTTGAGAGGTCCTGGAGGGAACAGACCTTTCTAAAGTGTGTTTGTGCCTGTCCTCATACTTTCTGGCCTAGGAAGACTTTATATCATATTATAAACTCAGTATAAATGTCTCATAAAAGTCACGATTTACTAAGCACATTTTGGGGTATAATATCCTTGTATCCTATAAGACTTTGTATTCACACTGCCACAAAGACCAAGACCCAGAGAAACCACCAAGATAGGTCAATTTTTTTTTTTTTCATCCTTGTGAGGGAAGTGTTTTTGAACAGGGAAACCTTCCACATACCTATTGGTCCTGCCTTCACCTCTAAAAACCTGTGGAGTCTGGCCAGTCAGAAACCCAGATGGGCCAAAAATAAATCCTGGACAGCAAAATACCAAAGCACAATAAAGGTTACTAATGTCCCTGCTTGAGATTGGTTGACGGTTGGCATGATATTCTTCTGAGTGCAAATGCATAGAGAAACATATCTATCCCACCTCTTGCCATTAGACCAAGTTCTTTTAACAAACACAGAGATGGTTAATCTTCCATGAAAATGAAGCTTTATCTATTTTCCACTTCATCAATATGACCTTTAAGTGATATAATTCTCTCCCAGTATATCATCTATGCCTCAGTAAGAAATAATAAAAGCTGTCTTTCCACACACAAATGCACACACACACACACACACACACACACACAGAATTGAGGTTATGATTGTGACTGGAGCTTAGAATGGTTCAGAGGTTCCAATAATTAAATGGAGTTTATTCCGTCTTACAATTATCTACATTTCAGTTTTGGTATTTGCTCGGATGCCTTAAAGACTTGCAGTTGTTGATACTGAAAGCTTTGAAAGGAGCATTCAAATAGACTTCTAAGCCCCTTCTAGCTATTGATCTCCCATGCATTCATTAGATTCTGTGAGAACACAGAGTCGGCTAGCTACAGTAGTTAGCATCTACCTTGTCATGTGACAACCGCAATTATCTTTTTTGGCAATGAATGTGATCTTTGCAGTGATTACCTTTTAAAAATTTTTCTTAGCCAATTAAATAAAATTCGGTGACATTTCAAAGACTGTTAATCATAACCAAATGCTCTAAAATGTCAGGATGCATTGAAATTTTCACTGCTAACTGATGAATCACTGAGCTAATTGTAGTCATCATCAGGCCCTTGTCATTGTTATTATTATGGAAAATACTTTCATCACTCTCGCTATTCAATAAAAAAAAGTTCTAGACAAACATAAAGAGAAGAGATATTACTCATCAAAGCATTTGAATTTATTGCATTTTTCCAAATCCTCCAACTACAGGTTGCAGGAGAATACCCAGGCAGAGAGAAAAGTAATGTTTTAAAATAAATAGCTCCTGGCAGCCCCTTCTTCCAGTCTACATTATTCAGAGATCTTTATTTCCTTCCATTTCTTTCCTTTTGTTTGGGAAAGTTTTTCCAGGATGTTTTCAAATGAGTTGCAATAGACCAAGGGCTTCCTGACTTTTTTTGCTCTGAAGCCTCCATGACTTGAAGCATAGATCTTTTATCCTGGGCTTTTTGTGGGGCTTTTCACTACTGTGAAGGGTGTAGAATTCAGTCTCCCCCAACATTTCCACAACAACTTGTTAAGAAGACCAGATTACAGGCTGCTTTTTCTTACTACAGTAAGGAAGAAAATGCACTACTGCGATAGCCTTACTGGTGTCTCAGAGTGGGAAGGACCAAGTTAGGAGATATATTGAGACTCCAAAGTCTGGTTGAAGGTGGTTCTCTTAATGTGGAGGAGCTGGAGGAGGTTTAATCAGGATCCAATAAGAACTGTAATATTGAAGATCAGGGCCCAGCAAGGGGAAGGTTTTGGAGTCGGGGCTCAAAGGCACTTATAGTATAAATTGTTTCTGATGCTTTCTGTTGAAGAATTGGAAGGTCTTTCAGGAAGTTTCTAGAATAAACAACACAGTTATTTTGCAACTTGTTTCTTCCTGGTCAAGAATTTTCTGGAATAATAAGTTAAATTGATAAAGGAAGAAGAATAGTAGTCGTGTACATCTTTGTGATATGATGGCTTTAGTTTTTAGGTATTTTTACCTACTAACATGGTAGTATTATAGATCTTGTCTGCTATGTTTAACTCAAGGACACGAGTCTGGTCTGAGTTGTAGGATCGGCTGCGAGGGCCAGGACTAAAGTGAGGCAAACTTTAAAGAGAACTCTCAGGGTTACAGCCCTGGTGACTGCCTTGGGACTCTGGAATCCTGGAAGGGATGGAGGGAGGAAGAGGTCAGAGAAGAGCCCTACTATGTAGCCTATGTTAGTTCATTTTTGTTGCTGTGAAGCCAAGTTTAAGCATAAAAGAAGCTTGTGTAGCTTACAATTTTGGAGGCTGAAAGTCCAAGACTGAGGGGCCCATTGGTTTGTCCTGAGGTGAGGGCCCGATGGCAGATTAAAGCATCATGCCAGGAGTGTGCCAGAGAGACAGGTAATATCCTAAAACAGGAAGTCAAAGAGAGACTAGAAGTTGGGCTCACTTGAGAACTGCCTTAGTCTCTTCTGAGGGCAGCACCCTCAATGGCCTAAGGACCTCTCACTTGACATCACCTCTTTAAGGTCTATACCACCTCCCACATAGCCAAACTAAAGGCCATATCTCCATCACAGGAACCCTTGGGAGGCACAGTCAAATCATATCCAAATCATAGCTCAAGGACCTTCATGTCATTACTGAAAGGCTGTAGAGTGTGCTAAGCTACAGAGCAGGTACCAGAGCTAGTCTGCCTATATTCAGATAACTTTCAGGAAGTAGCGGTGTGACCTGGGGTAAGTTAAGTAATCTTTCTGTGCTTCAGCCTTCCTGCCTATAAAATGGGAACATTGATAATATCTACTTCTGAGGCTAATAAGAAACTCCCTTAAGTAAGTGTCTATTTGTAGCCCAGCATACAATGAGCATTTAACCTGTGTTGAAGAAACCAGTTAAGGATGTTATTCTCATCTTATAAATAAAGAAATGAGTGCTCAGGAAGGAGGAGTTATTTTAGGCACACAGCTGTGGTGCTGGGATAGGATTGAGGACTACCCACTATGTCATGATATCACATGCATGTTTGTATTGGCTTTGTTCATTCCAATATGGCCTCAAGGAAATCCATCCTTCCTTCCTTTCTTCCTTCCTTCCTTCCTTCCACCATACAGTTATTTATTATGAAATTCCACATCAAACTTTTAAGTACATGGACACTGGACATTAGTAACCTGAATTTGAACACTTTATTTTCTTTCTAGTTCACTAGTGTCCAGGCATCAAGGCCAAGAGTAGCCTCCATTCTGCCCCAGTGTCAATAGATTAGCCACATTTTCACAGTGCCTCTGCATTTAGTGTTTGACCTTTCCAAAGTACTCTCTCCCTACATACCTTCAGTTTTTCTAAAACTGTTCCTTCTCTTTCCACTAGCATCATCATCATCATCATCATACTTACAATATATTTACTATTCAGTTTCCCAAAGAGAATACAAAGCTACCAGACAGAAGAGATTTGCGTATGCTTCATCCCTAGAGCTATGGGGGCACTTTAGCAAATAAATAAACTTCCTACATCATAACAGAGGGAGTTTTCACTATTGAAGGCTAAAAGACTGTATTTCCCATTCCTCAGCATTGTTGCTAATTATAGGTTTTTTACAGGACATGGTGATACTATGACTTGCATCATTAATAGCATTCATTAAGGGAATTCTTCACCTCAGATTCAAGGGAAGGACACTCTGCTTTGGCAACTGTATTTGGTCACTTTTGATTCTACTTGTAAAGGCTGGAGTTTTGAAAACATTATGTAAAGTGGAAGTTATGGTTTAGAGTTTTGTGTAGCAGTGAGTACTATCTTGGAATCTCAGCATGCCATACATATTAATAAATAAACTAATAGAAAATGTTACATGTTAGTAATGTATTTTAAGTGAACCCTCTAAAAGAGTGCTTAGGCTTTTAATGTAAATTGTTATGCTCCTGACTTCATTCTGTATTTGTCTAAAAGCTCCTTGATTTCATTATAGGGTATATTCTGTACCCATCCAACCCACTCAGACCAGCTTCATTCAGATTTTGAAAGAGATGTTGCCTCTCACAAATCCTGCTAGCCATATAATGTGCCCTAAAAGGTCCTTGTGCCAATTCCTTTGGGTTTCTTTTCACAAATGAGGTCCATGCTTGAAGGTAGGAGACCTTAGGCAGGCTACAGGTACGTGCAATTAGAAATCCTGTGTGGTCTGCATTTAGCTCCCATTTATTAGAGTGCATGTGGCAATCCATGTGTAAAGGCCTCTCCTGTGGGTTCAGTTTTGATGGTGCACAATTGACCTCTCACATCTAGAGACTTCCTAGATCACACCATATGCCCCTGAGGTCTTTTGGATACAAAGAACTAACTGAAGTGTATTTTGTTTTGAATCTATCTCTTTGCATAGTTTAATCACACGGGACAAGGAAGCATCTGCAGCCAGGCCATCATGCTTATAACTGATGGGGCGGTGGACACCTATGATACAATCTTTGCAAAATACAATTGGCCGGATCGAAAGGTAAGTTGATGCCAGCACCTTCCATGCTGTGGAGTTTGTGGATAACCTTTACCATAACCTCCAGATTATCCACAGATAAGTGTCCTGTGTAATCTTAATCTCATAATGACCTATGGTTTCTCAGCCTCGTGTTTTTTGGTTGACCAAAATCAAATACTATGGCTTTTGTTGTTTTCAGAATGAAACTATTTTGGAGAGAAGAAACCCATAAAGATATGTTTCACGTGTTCTGAAAGGATTCACTGTGAAGAATCCTTTGACTATATTGAGTAGCACTTCTCTTTATTTTTATTTTCCTTGGAGCCAGAGCTATGAGGTGGTCCCTGAATCTGTAGAGTGGTGACGTCAGCTGCACTGGCTTTGCAGCCATCTCCTTTATTTCCATAGTTCCTCCCTGGACTCCCCCTTCCAACCTAGAACCTTCTCTCCATCCCTAAGTGCTGTTACCCACTCTCGTTGAAGCTTCTCTCTTCTCTGCTTTCTAAGTGGACATTTTTTAATCTTGTGAACCCGTATATTCATTTATTCATTTTGAGTGCCCTAATTTAGAGATTCCTCAAGCTGTTAGCCAGTCTGAGTTCCCTAGAGAGATTTTTAAAATTATGTATATCTCAATCCTACCCACATCCCCAGAATCAAAATCTCTAGAAATGTGGTCCAGTAGTCCAAATTTTTAGCATAAGTGTCCACAAGTGGGCAAAGATCAGTGACTTGGTAATTGGTAGTCACTGTCCCACCTAAGTGGTGGGATTTTAACAGGAAAAAGAGGTCAGACAGAATGGGTGCTACTAGGCATTTTTCTGTTCCGTATGCCAATGGTGTTATCCTGACTGTCTCTGTAGGTACATGAGACAGTCCAGGCCAAGTCTTTCCTCCTTTGTCTATTTCGTGAATTGTAACTTCTGGGAATTGAACTAACCATACACATTTGTCAAAAGGAAACAGGAGACAAATGGTAACTGTGCCCTCTGCTATATCCAGCGACCAGGTACCTCGTGGGAAAAGGAGTTAGGAGATGTTGTTCCATATTCCCTTAATCAGTCTTTGTAGGATCCCATTCCTCAAGCCGGTCTGGAGATTGAAGCTACATACATTTCCTACAACATGGTCCCAAATGGGGACCTTGGTACTGAACCTAGGAAACAGCTGTTGCCTTGGAAGGTGGAGGGAAAGCGGCTATGCTGGGCTTACTGGAGGATGTGGGAATCTGGCATGAGCTGCCCAGGGAACGTCCAGGAGTAAACTTGACCCACCATAAGCACAGTTTAGAATCCACCCTTGGAGAAGATGGAGGTTCACTCTTGAACAGTGTGATTTTAGATGTCAGCAGTAATTTGGATGATAATTTCCCAGGACAGGTAGAAGCCATAGTGAATTCCAGCTAAGCACATGTGGAGGAGAGTGCTGGACACACTCATGCCCTGCAGCACATAGCACAGTGCTCGGCATTGTGGCAAGTTTGAATGCACGGCCCTTGGAGGTGGTCTAGTGATTGAGGAGGGCCAGGTGAGAGGCCCCAGCACTAGAAAAAAAAAGTAGGGATGAGAACCTTTTTTAGCCAAAATAGAATGTTCCAAGATTCCGTATCTCAGAGCATGAAGGATATCTTTTGAAAATTTTATTTATTTATTTATTTATTTGTGTTAATTGTACAAAGGAGTTTCATCGTGATGTTTCCATACATGCATATAAATATATTTTGATCAAATCCATCCTCGATGTTACTCTTTATTTTTTCCTCCTCTGCCCTCTGCTCCCCTCCCTCCTTTTTTGTACAATTTTTAATGAGTTTTATTATCCTATTTTCCTCTTTTGTTTGTTGGCAATACTGGGATTTGAACTCAGGACCACATGTTTGCTAGGCAGGCATTCTACCACTTGAACTGCGCCCCCAACCTTCATTATTCTGTTTTCATAGATGCATATAAAGCACTTTGATTTAATGTAATCACTGTCATTGTTCAGCTGTAGGAAATTAGAAATGAGCCAGTGCCTCAAGCACTTCCAGAAGTTCACACATGTAAGGAAGGGAAGTGTCAAGTAGGGAAACTCAGTGTTACACCCCACTTACACCAAGCTGGTGAGTGAAACTCACAAATCTCATTGATAAGAAGTCAGTTCAGGTCATGTCTTTCTCTAACATGTATCCTGGAAGTCCTTAATTCTTAGAAAATTCCTCTTTTGTATGAGTGCACTAGCACACCTGATCCTGTGATCTATGTGAAGAATGGAGGTTGTTATATGGAGATTTTTCTTTACTGGGACCATTTGAAAACAAAAGAAGAATGCCATGGGCCTTTTAATAAGTAGATGTTAACAGCAAATGTGTTACTGCATGCATCTCATATGCTGTAGTTCACAAATCTCTCCCTTTTGATGGTACTGGATTGATCACAGTTGCTCAGGAATATTGGTATTAAAACGTTCTGACCTCACTTATAGAGAGGCATAGGATGAGGAATGAAAAGTCCTAAATCTTCAGACAAAACAAATCTCAACTTATCTTTCCAGATGAACGCTATTGATTTTAGGATAGGCATGTTCTTGGATTAGTTGGAGCTAACTAGAGTCTTAGAAATAAGCAGTTTCATTATTTTTAATGTATTATTAAAAAGAGGCAGATTTTCTTTCTGTAGCAAGAGGGTCTTTTTATTATTATTAGAAATTAATAGTATGCTCTCTTCCCTTTTGCCCCATTCTGGAGAGTTGCACATTTGCATATACCTATGTCCTCTTTTTTATGGGCTTCCTCATGAGGGTACAGGTAATAAATTTGCATAAAAACCCAATGTGATTTAACATTGCAGTAATGTGAGATGATGTGGAATGTCTAAAGCAGTCATCTTTCTCCATTATTTTGAATATAGGCTATTTAGTAGAGGGTTGTGTCTATCGTGTTGTAATTGGCAATCTTCAAGGTTGTAAAAACAGAAAATGGGCTCAGGAGAGAGAAAAATGGTTCTAAGAATGGAACGTGATTCTCATAAAACAGTGGTTCTCATACTCAGGTGAATCTCAGCCTCACCTGGAGGGCTCATTCCCATACAGCTTTCTGGGTCTGCTCCAGAGCTTCTGACTTAGAAGTGTGTGTGCTTGAGGTGGGGGACAGGGGGAAACTGACAGTCTGCATTCCTAACAAGTTCCTGGGTGATGCAGATGCTGCTGGTGGGGACCAGATTCAGGAACCACTGCTATCAGAGATAAAGCAAGGAATAAAGTTTCTTATGATGAAGTTCACTGGACACTTTGAGGCCACCATTCCCTGAGGCAATAAGTGACTGGAAAAAGCTGTACTTTTAGATAGCCAATGCATGCTATTTGTGGCTATGATCCTCACAATACCCTATCATTTCCTCTCAGCTAATGTCACTCGTATGCCTTACCATCCCATAGGTGTGGAGTCCCTGACCCCTGCTGTATATTTACGAAGGACCTATTGGCCCTTACGATCTCCCAGGCAGGGCCCATGTTTTCCAGGGCTGGGGAATCTTCTCCCTTCTCTTAGATCTGCCTTGAGCCTCCCTTCTCCAGCCAAAGGCTAACGTGTCCTTGCCTGAACCCAACTCCAAACTACCTAGGAATCGTCTTAAGGAAAATATAACTTCATGTCCAATACCAGAATTGTTTCTGGGACTTTTATCTGTATTTTTTGGTGAGTCTATCAGGAAAGGTTACCTGTTCTGAACAACTATACCTGCCCCATGTCCCAGTCCTGCTGAGAAGCTTAACCACTCCATACAGCAGCCTGGACTTGCATTCAGTAGGCCAGCCAGGTTCCAGGAAAGGGAAAACAGAAGGAACTGAGGGAACAGGCCAGGGGAGCACTTGTGTCACTTTTAAAAGTGATTTAGCACCTAACCAGGGCCTTGCTTGAGGCAACTACTTAACAAAACATCTTAGAACCACCTGGAAAAGGAATGCATTATTGGCGATTTAACCATGAGTCTATGAAGGTAGCATCGTGATTGCCTGTGCAATGTGTCCCTTGCCGGCATTTCATTTCCAAGAGCGGAGGTGAGGAGCTGTTTATTCATTTATGGGATGCCATTACTTTTTGTTTAATATCCATTGGTTAGTGGCTTAACAGTAGCTCTTCTCCTCAACACAAAAGGTGCTTACCCCGGGACCTGCTCAAGAAGGAAAGCTGTACATGTTTAAATTAGGAGAAGTGCAGGGCCTGCCATCACATATTTGCTCTTCTAACTTAAAAAGAGTCCATGGAATTATTTATCATTACTCATTACCTCCCCACATGTGCACAGGAGAGAGGAACACTGGTTGATAGGTAAGAGAATGGCTAGTTAAATAATGCAAGGAAGGAATTGGGAAACTATGGCCAATGGCTCTAAATGTGTTTTTGCAGCCCATGGGCTACAAATAACTTCTACATTTTTAAATGGATAAAATAGTATATTTTATGACACAAGATAATTATATGAAATTCAAATCTTAGTATCTATAAATAGCATTATTTAGACCCATTTGTTTCCACATTGTCTGTGGCTAATGACAAAGTTTACTTGTGACAAAGACCCACCTTGCCTGCAAAGCCTGAAGCTTTTACAATCTGGCCCTTTGAGGTTATGTTTGCCAACCCCTGTTCTTACAGAGTCTTTGAAGAAATTAAAGCCACTGGTGTGTTGTTGCAAGTTGCTGGGATGAACTCAGGATTTCATGCCTTAGCTGGATTCAGCTGAAGATGGCAGTGGTGATTTCTCCCTCCATTTCCATGGCTCTTTTCTACTTGGGCAAACTGTATGAGTTGCAGGATAAGTGGTGGAGAGGGCAGGAGACTTGTGGCAAATACTTCTTTTCATGCAGTGGGATTGCTCTCCAAAATGCTTGGGGACTCAAACTTTCCCAGCAGAGGCCGGATGCAGAGCTTGGTTGGGCTGCTTAGAAGTGGAGCAGGCTGTTGAGACTTGAGCCAGAACTCAAGACCTTGGATGGAGTGTCTTCAGAAATGTCAGACTTGACTGCTCTTTGAAGTCGGTTTTGAT